TAATTTCGGGTCGTGGCTTCTTCCGTCTTCTCTCTCCGGTATTCTCCGCCGCTCTCCCTGTTCATCCCCGTAGTCTCTCTCGCGAAACCGCCCTCCCGTAGCTTGGAATCGCCGAGAGAGAGAGAGAGAGAGAGAGAGAGAGAGAGAAAGAGAGAGAGAAGGAGACGAACAAGAGAGAGGAGAAATCATCAGATAGCTTTAGCCTTAATATCCCTCTCTCCGAGACCTCGGAGACGAGATCCTGGCACCCCTTATAGTCCTATCTGTGTTCGGTCCACCTAACTAACACACGTGAACGTTTGGACGCGTGTGTACGTGTGTCAGTAATAACGTTATTTACTTACACACACATACACGCATTCGCGTTATCAAATTGGATCTAGACGACAGAGTCCCGCGGATTTCGAGAAGGGAAGTTTCTCGGGTAAGTTAACGTCACGCGGATTTGACAACCGAGGAAACCGAGTAGCGGTGTTGCTGTTCGAGCTTCGCGCGGCTCGCATTGCCTCGAATACAAAAGTCACAGCACGCATACATGATGAATGAACAAGCGCGAAAGCATCGGACGTGATCTCGGGCTGAAGGGCTGAAGATCGATGTCCGCGAAATAGCGAACTAAGTGTATCAAGTTGCTTTGCATAATTTATTCGGATTCCTCGTTAGATACGACGTCGAAAATAAGAACGTGGATTATAAACGCGGCGAGATTTATTGCGTCGTCGCGAGATGTAAAAAGAGATCGAGCTCTAACGAAATATTCGTGCTCGCATGCGAGCGTTATTCTCGCGCTCTTTCTCCCTCTCTCTCTCTCTCTCTCTCTCTCTCTCTCTGCCTCTCTTTCTCTCTCTCTCTCTCTCTCTTTCTGCCTCTCTTTCTCTCTCTGTTTCTCTCCGCGGCGATACATTTTCCCGATGCATCTGCGTCCACGGAGAGAGAGCGAGAGCTTTGTGGTCAAGCCTTATCACGGGTAATTCTATTCACGAGAACTCGCATGCGAGTGTCGGGAGACCTTAAGATTGTTCCGTTCAGCCGTAACTTTCGCAGATTCTAATCGAGCGCGCGTAATTAGAGCGAGTAGAGCAATTGTCGGTAATTAATTGGGGGCAAATTAATTAGCTTGGCCCGAAGGCCAATACAAAGTGGAAAATCTCAATAACGTTCGCGCGTCCGATCGATAAATCGAGTGCGAGAAACATCGAGTTGCAAAAAATTCATTTGCGCGTTATTCGATACTTCTCATGGAAAAAATAAACGCACAAATCTGCGCGCGCCTCAACAAAAGATTTGAAAACGTTTGCAACACAAAAACGCTTTTATCGCTTTTGCATGTAGGTACGTTGCATAATCGGTGTCTACTTCGTTTCGTATATGCACAAAGCATCGATCAAATTAATCCCCGTCTATTCTTACGGCGCGCCCGCTGTAGCATGCAAAACGATTTGTTTGCACATCTGATTTCCATCCCGGCTTCTTCGACTGATATACGGCTAATGGTGATCGTCATCAGTCTCTCTCATTGTGAATCTCATTCTTATCCGAAGCCTTCGGCGTGTATTCTGTTTGTCCGTTCAAATAGATTATGCGAAACCTGTGTCACAAGCAAACATATTTTGCGACGTATCTTCGAAAAAAATCTAAATGGTTGGATTAAGTAATCAGATAAAAAAACACGCGGTGCAAAATAATGCGCACATAAAATGTTCAATAATTATTTTCCACGACGTTCGATTTTGTTTTTCTTTTGCGATGATTAATGTTTTCGCCGATAACGCATCCTGATAACGCTCGGCTCATGTTCCGCGAGTTTAAGTCTCGTAATATCGAGTTAACGAGAGAAAGAGAGAGAGAGAGAGAACGGTCGCGTAGGCTGGTAGATGAAGGCAGCTTTGTAGAACGATATCGGTAAGTGGAAATCAGTGGCCGAGTGGCGCCTGTGCTGACTCCCCTGTTTTCTTTCTCTCTCTCTCTCTCTCTCTTTTTCTCCATCTCTCCGTGTGCGAGGAGGGGAGTCTGCCACCCCCGGAGAGCGTTTACGCTCCTGGAACCACGCTGCCGTTGGTTGTACCAGGAACTCGCTAACTTCATTAAAATATTGCCATCAACACGAGGGCCATTGTCTTCAGAGCGAGCCCATATCCCTGCTCCCGCTACGCTAACCGGCCGATTAACCACCTCGGCTCCTCCGGGAACAGCCACTGCGTCCTCTTTGTGCGTACAAGCCGCGCAAGAAGCGTGATTCCTGCGAACTCGTTTCAGTAAGCGCATCGCGCATCGACAGCCACCTCAACAGCATTGCAATTTTTTGTTTCGCGATTCTTCATGTACTTACAAAACACTTCTTTTACAAAAAAATTGTTGATATATCTTCAAAAAAAGCTCGTACATATTCGTCACGTCAGCCGTCGTTACAAACATGCAACGAGGTTTCAACTACTCCCAAAAACTTTCCAAGTCTCTGACATCGACGTCTCGTTACTTCAGTCAGAAATGTTTTTGTCTGCATTTGCGATACCTGCGTTCACTTCATTCCAGCCAGGAGTTTTTCGCCGACGCGGAGACGATTAATGCTCGACGTGCATTCCGGTCGCGTCGTCCGGACGTCCGCGGACGATCCACTCTCGGATATGTCGCCGGTTTGGCGCGTTGCTCGCGCACGCGGACAAAGGATTCCCCTGTAACAATTCGCGCTCGATTGACAAGGAACACGAGCCGACGACGACGAGGCCCACCCCCGACGACGACACCCGCGCGCTGATGCTCTCGACTTTGGCATAACACTTGCTTCTGTCGTCGTCTCGTCTCGCGTCGGCTCGTCGACGAACGGGCGCGGACCACGCACGTTGTACGAGGAAGCGGCGGTCGACCCGCGCGGCTTTTTGCCGCGGATGTAATTGAGCCTGTCTCGTCTGACTACCGTCTAAATGAATTACGACTCGAGCAGAAAAGGATGAGATGAGAAGGAGAACGAAGGCGTACGTGCTCGCTAAGCGGACTAACTCGCCGCGCGGATTCTTCGCCCGCGCCCGCTTGAAGTACTTATAAGTACGATCGAGCGGCTTAGCGATCGCTTTTTCTCGCCCCCGATTCGATTAATTTCCGGCGTCCCGAGTATTCGTTTCCTCTAAGAAGAAACGATACAGAGAACAGTCACGTCTAAATGGCACTTTACGGATTTTTTGCATTGCGCTTACGAAACAAAGCAAATATACTTGTGATGAGAATAATGTTTAAGATCCTTTCAATTCTTTATTGTTTAATGTTTTGCTTAGAATGTTGAATATAACAAGAGTCAAATATTTTGGCTGCAATTAAACAATTCTTAATTAAGTTCTTACGTTTTAACGTAGAACAAAATTTTTCCCCTTATCATTATCGTCATTCTTCTAGCTAGATCGTAACTTAACGGTGACAAATGACAACGTTGAGACGCGTCACACGTTTGTTGAAACGCGCACGAGAAGAAAAACGTTCGAGTGCGCTTGCTTTTTGCCGACAGAACGTAATTGCCGCTGTCTCGACCAACATACAGACAGCCGGGCTGAGTCTAAGTGAATTATGAGGCGCCGCGACTGTTGAAGAAGATGCAAACTGCCCGGTACGACCGTTTTTTTGCAAACGAGCGGTAACTCAATCTTTTTCGCAACGCGTGCGGCTAAATTGTTCGACGATTTATTAACAATGCTGGGAAGAGAAAGAGAAAACGAGTAATTAAATTAAATACTTGTACACACACGTCAAAGATCTCGATCGCGATCTCGATTGTACATTACTTGTGCTTACAATTACGGCAAATTCACATCTCATTTCTCTCGTCTTTTTCTACCGACATGTTACACCAATTTGTACGTACGATAAATCTCGTACCTTAAAAAAAAACGCAGTCTTTATTGCTTGTTTGCTGAAAAAGAAAAACGGTGTAATATTACGTCTGCGCGAGGCGGTAGGGCTGGTTGTAATTAACGAGGAAGTTCGCCTAAGAACGCGCCGACTTTATGAATCGCATGAACTTTTGCGTGTCGCGAGATCAAAGATCGGCCGCCACTAGACGCCAATATGGCGGCTTGCCTCCTCAGTCTTCACACAATGCGGTTCTCTCTCTTCAAACATATTTCTGCAAGCTTCGTCTCTGTAATTTCAAACACATGTGTCAACAAAAAAAACTGTTTGTTATAGTGAACAAAGTAAAGACTAAACATACATGGTTTACAACAAGATAGAATGACATTTTCTATGTTGTTTAAACATTACATTCGAAAATATAATGGTAACGACATCTACCGAGAAAATGTGGCACCTTGAAAAAACACCAAGATCTTTACAGATTCCTGTTCGTATCAACAAATAGTAAATTTACATTGTTACTCTCTTTACCATGGATTAAAATTACCGGTAATTTATCGATAGAATTTACCGGTAAAAGTTCTTGCGTTCAAGATGAGAAAGAAGAGAAACTTAAAGGCCGAAGCACAAACTTTTGCATAACGCATAAAGAGCCGTCTACAATGGAGAGTTGTAGGCCGTAACAGTAAGAAATTGACAAATCACAATCGATTATTCTTCTGTACTTTGTCTGTGATTGGTCAATTTCTTACTATTACGGCCTACAACTCTCCATTGTAGACGGCTCTTTACTACCTTTATTGTAGACGACCCTTTATGCAAAATCTGTGCTTCGGCCGTAAGAGGGTACTGGATAGAGACCTGTAAATCGACGTTTTAGAAACTTAAATTTCTCTAATTTCCAATTTTGTGTACTGCATCACATGAAAAATGCTCCTACAGAAGCAAATAAATATAAAAAACTACATATTGCTCTTGAAAATGGGTATATATAATGCTTTTTTTTCATTCACATAAATAGCATATGATAACCCTATACTGTCATCACGAGAATCGCTTTTTCTCATCAATTACACATTTCAATCATAATCAGAATGTCTTATTGTATTCTTTTTTGTCGTACTTTTATCGCTAGCTAAATTTAAATACGTATAAAAGTTTATAAATAATTATGCCACTTGAATATATAATGAGGTTATAGAAGAAAACTTTAGTAGTAAAAATTTATGCTTATTTTCGACAACCACAAGTAGCTAGCGATAAATTTTGGCACATTTTATTCCTGGAAAAGCATTTTGGATTTTATGCAGTAAATACGACACCAGAGGACTTCTAGAAATGTCGGTTTACAGGTGTCTATAGTCGGTATCCAGTACCCTCTTAACCTAGTGAAGGGCTATTTAAAGTGAGTTCTTTAAAATTGTTATTATATCTGTTTATTGAGAATGATTTTAATAATTATTATTTTACAATATCTCTAAATATTCTCTTCGGCGTATGAATAAACATAAATATATGAAAAAATATTTTTCCCTAGCGATTTTTTCAGAGAAAATATGCGAATTAACCTTAAAAAGAGTAAACATCGATGTAAATATCGAGGAATCTATGAAAACAAACATTGGTAAACAGGTGTTAGAAAGTAGGCGAAGAAACAGAGTTAAGAAGAGAAAATAAATTAGAGAAGATTTCTGAAAAAAGTTATAGAGATATAACAAGTGAAATGACATCAGTGCAGAAAAGAAACATGCAGCAACATCCCGCACCGGTTGCTCCCGTTCAATTGGATTCTGCAATTGCTATAAGAATAGCTATGGGTGCAAAAATGACTCACGAGAGATCACTAATGTCTCGACCAGATCTGTGGCATAGATTTACTGTTCTCAGAGGTGCACAATTTGACAAAGAGACAGTCTTGAAGGCTATTCTGAAAAATATAGAACCACATGACTTAATACCGGTGAATTACCAAGTCCTCGGTGATGACACGTGGTTCATAGCGAGAAATTGCGGTCCTGCTCTGGAACAACTGTGCAAAACCAATCTAATTATTAAAAATGTTGCTGGAGACGCTATCATTCTCATGATAACTTTGGCTTTTGCTTCAATATACAACAGACCAATCAATGTACAACCACTTCTGTTAACTGCGTTGACCAAGAGATACGACCCAAACAAGAAGATATTGAATTTAGAAAACTTTCACAGAGATCCGGGCATAGAGAAGACCGTTTATTGTCCTTTATCGCAAATCAAAACTTCCATTTTTGTTTTAAAACTAGCCAAAACTGCTATAGCCACTTTTGAGCACTTAAGTTTACAAAACAACGAATTACTTAACATTTCCGCGATAGAGAGCGCAGAGTTAACGTTCATCAAGTATCTCGATCTGAGACATAATAATTTGTTAAATATGAGCGCGCTAGCTTCTCTAAAAAATCTACCGATTAAGAAGCTTTGGCTGGATGGAAATCCTCTTTGTGAAAATTATTCGACGGCGAAGCAATATGTAGAATCTGCGAAAAAATATTGTCCGAATTTGCAGCAACTAGACGGCGTAAACATTATGCCGAACATGCCGTTCGTGTACAAAGACTATGTTATAAATGACAGGATGGAAGATTTCGTACATAAATTCGCTTCGCATTTCTTTGCATTGTACGATCGAATCGACAGAACACCTTTAAGAGGACTCTATCATAAGAACGCGCTCTACTCAATGAGCTGCGCCATTCCCAACCCCATCGCTCAAAAGTCCAAGCTTCAACCGTACACATCGAACAGAAATCTATTAGCTAAGTCTCGGAAAGCGAGGAAAAATGTATATACGTTTCTCTTTCAGGGCCCGGATGAAATTTTAGCGAGTCTGGCAAAATTGCCCATGACCTATCACGACAAAAGTTCCTTCAAGTACGACGTGCTGTTCGACAACGGCACTTGCACGGTAATTTCTATCTCGGGATTGTTTAAGAAACTCAGCTCCGGCACGAACATACTGTCGTTTTCGAGAACGTTCGTTTTACAGGCCTCTTACGATGACGAGTATCACATTCTGAACGATCAGTATCACGTGTTCGCGGCGCCCGAAGATTTGACACCCGAACACATTACGGTCAAATATACGTACAACGAAGTCGAAGACATGTGCTTCAGTCCGAAGGAAAAAGCGGTGCTACTCACCAGAATGAGACAGATCACCAAATTGAGCAAAGAATGGGCCGAAAACTATCTGCTGGGAGCTCAGTGGAACATGCGGGAGGCACTGACGAACTTTATGCAAGATTTAAAAAACTCCTCGGTACCGGATCACGCGTTTGTTATAGAAGATAAGAAGAAAACATAAAATATGTTACAGAGTTTAAGATGTATATTAATAACTAATCTTTTTTGTTTGTAATTTTTTTGTGTATCTGCAATTTCTACTTTCATTATCTATTGTTACTTTCGGCAATAATTTAGACTATCTAGAAAAACTATCATCTTTAATATAACTTTTTCTTTAAATAAACATACCAAATATGCTAATCTAATAAGTAGCTTTTTTAATGTCGTTGAAATTTGAACCGAGTCAAAAAATACACTTTGCTCGGAACTCGTTTCCGTTTATTAAAGAAATCATCGTCGCAATTACACGTAAGAGCGCATCGAAAAAGTTCGTCTCATTTCTTCGTAATGAAAAGTAGCACATTCAATCGCGCGATTAATTATGCATTTTCTATATTGGATATTTACCTTCAAACAGACGATAGCATCGTATATATCACAACAAGCGTATCACAATGCTATGTTACTCGCATGGCATTTAAAGTCTTCATGGGGAACGATTCTCTCAGTGACTTCACCCAAAGGTTATGCACTCAAGGACCGTAGTGATCACCCGGACGATGTGAATGAAACAAAATCGCGCGAAGGCTGGCAAGTTGTTTTTTTTACCCTTTCTTCCAACATAAAACTTATGCGCGTTGCGCATAACACGCGCAAAAGCAATCGACGACCTTCGTGATGATGTTACACGCGATTAAGTAAATCATTTGTCTCGTACGCGGATCTGTGTTACGACTTATTAATAAGTTAAATAATAACGTAATAAAAGAGACAACATATAATATTGCGAATTGTTATAATTATCATCGCGAAAAACACGTTGTAATAAAGAAGAGAGAAGAAGTTTTGCTCCGCTATAATAAGAATAATATCCGATAAATTACACGTGTTGTCATCCGTAATTGCACGTTTCACAGTCTCATTGGAGACTTTGATATGTACTCCCGTTGTGTGAGGTGCCATATATAGAAATAATAAATTCTCTAGCCAAAAACTAAATGAAAGCTGACGTGTGATCATTAAGAATTAGAAAGTAGTAATCATATCATCATTTCTACGTGAAAAGGTTACGAAAGACCAATTTTATATTAAAGGACAAAACGTAGCGCAAACGAGGTTTACGAGGTTTTTTTGTTTTGCGTTGCGTCACCGTCGCGAGGAAATAATGTAATGACGCGATAGCTAAATAAACAATCATAATACGTTCAACGATGTTTCGATCGTATCTTCCTGAGTTCTTTCTATTGTGCAATCTTCCGGATCGTCAAGGCTCTGCAACAGTCATTCACACGCGAAGAAAAAAAAATATAATCGCGTGCGATTGAATAAACTGTTGATTCTCAATAAAAATAAAAAATAAAAAAAAAAAAACAATTTTCCTCTGAAACTCACAGGAAAAAAAATATTAATTGAAAGAAACAATAAACATTGATCATTCTTACGTATCGTATTAAACGTTTCTTTAATCACCGTAATTGGCAAGTATAAAATCCGCGGAAATGGTTCCGAAGTAGATTGAGAGAGAAACGTTGAGGTAAGCTGTTGCTAATAATTACGAGCGCCGAGAAAGGATATGCGTATAGGTAACGACGTAATAAAATGATTGTTACTCGCGCTGGGAGACTTACAACAACCTCCCACGAGATCGTTGCTTCGAACCGCCTGCGTCCAAATAGGAAACCGCGCACGCTTTTTTCCAGGATCAATTATCCCTTGCGGTAATTAGAACTTCCTTCTCGATGAGAGTTCGATGCTTTCTACGAACTAACGCAGACTAAACTGGATATTTCATCGGGTTGTGTTTGTAGCAATTTTCAACTATAAACAATAAAACGAATCTGTCGGGTAGTTCATGCGTTGCTTATAAAGTAAATATTACTTCGTTCTATGTAAGAACTCTTCTCTCCTGAACATATGTTTGTTCTTTTCTATTCAAATTCTAACGCGTCGTTCAACTACAAATTGGCATTTTATGCGCGAATCTCATGTATACACACGCGAACGTGTCAGGATGTAGGTCAGGGTACCACAGCGAAAGAAACAAAGTATGATTAAAAAGATGGCCCATTGAGACATCCTTGTGTCAAGACGCTCATAAAAGACGCGCGCATACGACGTAACGTGCTTGAAGATGGTTCTTGTCGATAACCCTCCTTAGAGAAAGTCATACGATGCAGGATCTATGTAAATTTTGTGATGTCGCCTTTCCGAAGGCATCGACAAATATAGAAACGCTAAACTCTCGTGTACAGTCGTACATATAAAATATATTCGAGGCGCGACGGATGAGTTTGTGTGAGAAAAGAAAATTAACGAGCAAACCGAATTGGAGCGAGAAACGCGCGTGTTATAAATTCAATTATGCAAAGTGAGAAGCGCTCAGTTAAGTAACACGAGATATCTGGCAGTGTGTTGTTCGCTTACCGATGTTAATAAGCAGGGAAAACGTGCGTGTAAACGTCGGCGGTTTCACGCACGGTATAATCTAGTCAGAAAAATCTATGATACACAACTTTTATAATTGCGTATGATATGTGTATGCGTATATACAAGAAGCGAAATTGTGTGCGAGTGGAGCGAGATCGCTTATCACACACGGAGAATTAAAGCCATATCGGATTATCGAATTAGAATGTCAGAGAAGGAACAACAGAGAAGGGGGAAGATCGGGAACTCGTATCGAGCGACGGAACGAGTCCTCAAGTCGTCTTCTCCTCCCTCCTCTCCTCACGGGTCGAAACGAAATTATCGCGAAGTGAAGAAATCGACCATAGGATTTAGTAACATTTGCAGACTGGACTGATTCCCACGAATGACGTTATAATGGCTATTACGAAAGCGGAAAAATCCGCTTGTTTTGCACGCGCGAATTAACTTTTGGGAATAGCCAGTCGAATCTGTGGAGAGGCACATATCTCGCTAATAAATAATTTATATAGTGCGTTCACCATACAGACCTATTAAATACAATATTCTCTGAGATTGAATTTAACAGACGGTAAAAAAATCTCTTCGCTTTGCAAGATATAATTGCGACAGGAAGCGTTACATGCGATTTAATGCGACACGTGATTGCTACGATTTCTTTCTCTCAGCTTTATAATCGATCGGAGGCGAATTAATTCGATTTCCATTCCGCGCGGATCGGCTGCAGAAAGCGACATTGCGTTATTCTCTGCGAAAGGAAATCAAAGTCGGTGATCTTCTTAGACGGAACACGGTCCACGATCGGGAGCAATTGCGCAAGATGGATTTTCGCAAGCCCCGTCCGCATTCATGCGAACATTCATTTGCTCAAAGAGAAAGAGAGAAAGAGAAGAGCAATATGTACCTACGATTTGCCGCGGGATTATCATCACTTGCGCATATCTGTGTGCGCATGCAGATGCGCTCATGGGATTTTACGTGAAACGTGAATAATTAAAAAGGGCAAGCTCGCACCATTTTCCCGTTAATGAATACACGCGCGTTTCCTTGCAATTATGCTGAAAGAGAGTCTTCTTCCTTTTCCGATCTTATCTAACTGGACCCCCCGTGTACAAGCGCGGCTAACATCGCGTTTTAAATAATAAATCTGAGAGCGCATCTCGGGAGTTTTTCTCATTTTTTTCGGTTGTGCGTTTTGTTTTTTACATTTTGATTCTCGACAACAAATTTCCTCCGTTTATCGACGTTATTTCATTGTTGCGTGCGCAATGAATGTGTGTGTTCAAAGATCTCTCTTTGTTTTAAAATATTTTTCACAAACTTATACACAAAACCTTTCATTCCTCTCGATGAATTCGTAAGTATATTTCGTTCCTCTCTTAAAGACTGCTTCGTCGGAACACTTTGTGATCGTGTAAGGATTTACTTTCGTGGCATTGTTTTCGCTGGGGACTAATTAGTCCGCACTTCTCTCTCATCCTCGACTTGTATGTGCGCGCCTCTCCTACCTGTCTATAAAGAATCTCGGCGAAAATCTCTCACGGCGAGTTGCGCATATACGTCACTTCTCGCTCTTTCTTTCTTTCTCTCACTGATCGTCTTGTAGAAATTGTATATGAGATATGAGGAAGACGCGTATATACAACACGTGACGACATCTCGTTGTAATGTTTATGGGATATAAAAAAAAATCTCATCGTGCTAAAAGTTGTAGAGAATTAAGCATTAAAATTCTACCACGAGTGTATGCGCGGCGGGAAACGTGTGCGAGAGAACGAATCCTATTCATTAATCTTTTTTTTTTTCGCTCTGTATAAATGTAAAAATAACACACAAATGTGCGTTACAATTTAATTACGCAGATGCGTAAAAATGAAAAATCATTTTGCAATGATTCCATTCGAATAATTGCTGCACGCGTTCATTCTTCGAATCGCATGACCAATCGCGTTCGTGACTATCGTCAGTGATCCGCTTCGAATCCCCGGTATTTTCGGGAAGATAGCTTCTGTGTGTGTGGGAACCGCTTGTATAACCCCGGCACTTCCACGTTTCACGAGCGCGAGTTCGCGTATCAACGCACGTAAGAGCCACCGGCGGCTTCACGCGCGTGCGTTTATGCAACATTTGCGTGAGATTGTGTGCACGATGCGCACGTACGTGTGCATCGGCGGAATGATCGCGTCGATGTGTGGCCGTGCCGATTGTGCCCGGGGGCATAAGGCCCCCGCGACACTGTCGTGAGTGAAAGTTTATGCCGTGTTCTCTAGGACTCGCGTACTGACATCGTATCGGCATGACCTACGATTATAAATCGCCTTCGAGCAGCCGTCGCGGTAGTCTGGCCAAACAAAAACCGCTAATCGCTTCCTGTGTTAAGGAGGAAGCAACGTGGTCTGGTGGAATCTGATCCGAAGGGAGCAAGGATCAAGATCTAACGGCAATTCAGTCGCAAATTCGATCTATCAAGTTCGCTAACTAAGGAATTCAATTCTGTTCTGATTTATTTTGCGTTAACAATATACGCAAACTTTCTCCTTGCGATTAAAAATTTTAATTTTAATTATCAATTCAACGTTAGGTTTTATTCTAAATAAAGTGCTTGATTCTGATAATATATTTCAGAAAATTATATATTGTGTAAATCTTTGTTACAAAATGACAGAACCTTGTAACAAAGGAGACGCGTTGACAAAGGAAAAGTGATGATTCATAATACAATATTCGAAGTGGAATTTTCTCTTGCCGGATATGATTTATTACGCGTGTTACGTATGCAGAATTAATGCGCGCGCGCGTCTTCTTTCGCGGACTTAAATTGCGCGCACAGATAGCTTTTTGCGGGATATTTATCTCTTATATATATGATTGTTAATGCAAATGACAGAACCTCTTCTGTCTTGTTCAGCCGACGAGAATCACATACGGAAAATGTGATACGCGCGCGTGCGCAGGAATTCGTATAAACGCTAAAAAGAAGAGCGCGAACAGGAAACGAGATACGTATGTTGTATCTACGCACTCGTCACCTCAGGGACTATCAAACAGGATTCTGAGAGAGTTATATAAGTGAGAGGAGGCCCCGCGTATCACGGTGATGAGTGGATAATTTTCTTTTTCACACGGAGTTGCGCCGTAGTATGCCCGCGCTATGTCACAATAACGGGCAGCCCCTTTCGCCGAGTAATTAAGACCTCGAGTACCTGCTTAAACTTAGCACAAATACGTTAATTACATCCACGGGAATACTATGTATGCTATGTGCACTAAAAATAACTGATTGTGTAAATTTAATTTTAAATTTGTGAAACGGAGAGAGAATGTGTGTGTGTGTGTGTGCGCGCGATAATGCGCATGTGTACAAAATAAAAATTATAATATCAATAATATTTTATTCTCGAAAAGAATTGTATAACAATGTATAGTTAAAAATCCACCGTGCCGTGTACTTAAGAATATTTAAAACCGGAACTGAGATCATGATTTAAGATCGAGAAAGCCATTACACTCGGTTCAACTATCAATTGTAGAACTAATGGCTTTAATTAGCCGCTTCTCCATTCGAGTTGTCGAGCGATCCGTTTAGGGTGTATAATTACAACTAAGAAGAGACGGAAGAAGATACACACACTTAGCTCGTCTGTCAATGAAGTGCAAATTTGTTTTATTTTATTTTCACTCTCTCTTATTACATTATTACTCAGCTTTTTAGAAAATTCTCAAGTTTTATTTCATTATTGATGAATTGTCAGACGCAGATGTTGAGTGCCGTGAAGAGAGAGTTATATTAGCAACTGGATCGATCGAGAAATCACG